AAAAAGTAAGAAAATAATTGAAGAAAAAAAAATCTGTACTGAACATGTATAGACTTTTTCTCCATTATTATTCTCTAAGCAATACAGAATAACAATTATTTACACGAATCAGACATTACAACTAATCTAGATTTGGTTTAATGATTACGCGAGGATGTGTATGAGTTAGATGCATCTACTATGTCAGTGACCGTGAACCTTTTGGCACTTTCAGTGATAACAAATGGTTGGCTGTGGTGTGCATGCCATAGGTTTGCCCCTCTATACTGTCCCACTGAACATAAGGGACTTGAGCATCCCCAGGCTTTGACATCTATGGAGGTCCTGGCACTAATGCCCCCATAGATACACAGGGATGACTGCATTGTAGATTGTTGCAAGCTTTTTAGTAGCTCTAGAAGCATTTTCTAAAGGAGGGAAACACAGGATGGCTGTGGTGGAGCAGACCTGTAATCCTCAGGAGGCTGAGGCAGGAGTCCTGAGTTCAAGGACAGCCTTGGTTACACAGTGAAGTCAACACCAGCCTAAACTGCATAGTGAAACCCTGTTTTAAAAAAAGAGGAGAGAGGCTGGGGAGATAGCTTGGCAGTCTGAGCACCTGCCTGGCAAGCGCAAGGACCTGTGTTCAATCGCCAGTACCATATGCCATGCCAGTCCCCAAACCCCAGGTGCACAGAGCTGGCCTGAAACCAGGAGTAGTGGCACACGCCTGTAATTCCAGCACTGGGGAGGGTGAGACAGAAGGCTCAATGAGAGTCTGAACTGTGTAGTGAGACCCTGTATCCAATAAATAAATAAAAAGAAAAAAAGTCTTAAAAAGAGGAGGGAAATTCACTTCATTGCATTTTAAAAGTATAAATGCTTAAAAAAAAAAAAAAGAAAGAAAAAAGAAAGAAAAACAAAGCCAGGTGAAGTCATTTGCTGTTTATCTTTTGGTTCCAGCAGAAAATAGTGGGATATTGAGTTACGTGAGACTTTGACTATCTTGGGTGTCACTAGGTGTTGGCTTTCTAGCCTACAATACAAAGCATCCGAGAAGGTCACGCTCATTTAGGGTCATGCATTTGTTATGTCTTGAATGTTTTCAATTATTCCTATTCCCATGTTGATTTTAGTAGAACTATTTCCTAAAGAAAATCTCCCTGTCAGAACTGTGGGTACTCTGTAACATCTTTGGTTGTGCTAGTTCAGTTTTCCTAACTATTGGTGAGGATGCCACGAAAGATAAAAAGATTCGAGTGTGTACGTGCATGATACGGAATCATGAGTTGGTGGGACTTCAGGGGCTTTTGGAAGTATTGGTGCCTGATGGTCCTCTAAAGAACAACTTGCCTCTAAATTTGAGCCTGGAAAGCCGCTGGGATGAACGTTTGAAAAAGAAACACAATATATGGCTTTTTAGGTTTTTGGTGTCTATATCGGGGATTGTGTGCCAAGTGTCTGTTATGCTTTACGCTATGACCCATACGATCTCAGCTGTGAGAGGGTATTTTTGGGGAAGAAAAAGCAATTCTACAGCATGGCATGTGGGACTTGACGCGGCCCCACGACAGGGAACCACGCAGGTCAGGACAGCAAGGCGAGTATACATGTGTGGCTCCAGCTACGAACGCCTCCTAACTGGGAGAAACACAGTAAGCGAGAATGCATTAATCAGACGATGAACAGGTGCGCTCGGGGACGTGGCTCCCAGCCAGCCCGGTGCCGAGGAGTCTCCTCCAGGAATCTACGGTAGTTCAGAAATATATTTAGCCGTCTTTTCAGTGGAGAAGCGCACTGTCAAAGTAAGTGAGGGTTAATGTATAATTGCTCTGGATTGCATCCATTAAATGCAGTTAAACTGGTAATATTGCCTTTGGTTAAAATGAAATATTTGCCACAACCGTTATAGCAGTTTAATAAACGCTTATTTTCCTTTCGTGAGGCATATGATGCTTTGACGAGATGATTGCATGCTGTCATGATGCGTTGGGACTAAACACAGCGTGGGAAGCAGCCTGTGGTCCTGAGATGTTGCCGTGGTCAGCAGTGGATGCTGCTAGCAGACAGCAGGGCCAGCGTGTGGACCCAGAGCCCAGCACGGCGTCAGTGCGCTGCTGTCACTGTCCTGAAATTCTTAATAGTTCTGGCCAAGGGGCTGCATGTCTTTTGGAGCTCATGAGATACATTCTTGTCCTGGTGCACGGGAGCCCCCGCCAGAGTGAGCACAGGCTTGGATGTCAGGAGCTCTGCACACGCATGGAAGAGACCCATGGTTAGAAAACCGAACCAAGAAGAAAGGTTTAGAGTTACCCAAAGGCAGAAGGAAGGCTATGGGGTGGAGGCTGCGGTCCCCGGATCCCCTGGAGGCTTGGGCTAAGGCCCCTAGTCCATTCTCAGTGAAATAGCTCAGAACCCTGCAGTTTCTTATTTGTCCTCTCCCTTAAGTGATCCTGCTGCTAAAGAAGACTGCATCCTATTTATGCCACCTTCTGTCCCCGGAGGAGCCGGGGGTCACAGTCAAAGACGGTTCCCTGCTCAGCTACATGGTCATGCTAGCCAGCTTGACTGGGCTTCTTGGGGGCATCAGGGTCCGTAGAGGGTCAGCTGGGCTGCTGCTGAGGACTCTGGGCCTCCTGTCTTCTGGGGACTCTCACTGCTGAGCTGTGTCTAGTGGCTTGGCTGGGAAGACCTGCTGCTCCTGGTTCTCTTGCATAAGGAGGGCTGTGCAAGAGACCGCTGCCTTCCCAAGTGCATGTGGCGCTCGGCGAGGATTCTCTTGCCCAGACGGAGCTGGCCTTGGGCCTGGGGTGCTGAGTGCTTGAGAATGCTGGGGTCACACGATGGACAACTGCTGAGCAAGTTTACAGAGGCCACACCAGGTCTAATCTATGGGGCCACCGGCAGTTCTAGGGTCAGACCACACTGCTGCCAGTTTTCGTAAGTAGAAATACTCTGTGATGGTTTGGGTCTAGGTGTCCCCCCAAAACCTCCTGCCATCACTGGGGTGGCTCGTGGAGTTTGTGATTAATTCATGATCAATACTGGGATTATGCATGTGAGTGCTACACCTGGCCTGGGCAGATGGCCTGAACACAACGTAAGGGAGGGAGAGATGCGTGCTCTCTCTGCCTCCGCTGCTCCTCCCTTTTTGCTCTTGCTGTTCTGCTGTTTTCGGCCTTCATGAGCCGCTGCCCTCTGTGTCACCCTGCCTTGGAGCCTGCCGAGTATGGACTGAAAGGTCCACTAACTGTGAGCTAAATAAACCTTTCCTTCTTTAATTTCGGGTGTCAGGTATTTTGTTCCAGGAACGAGAGAAAAGTAGCCAAGGTATACACACCAAGAGCTAGAAGGCAACTGGCTGAGGACATCTGCCTCTGCCTGGCAGCCCTCCTCAGGCCTGTCTTCCAGGGGACTGTGGCTATCTTGAGGACAGGGACTTTGTCCTCCTGGTCTCTGTCTCCCTGGCCAGGTGTGTCGTGGGATTTGCTTACGAAGGGCGGCAGCATTGCAGAAGCTGGAGCTGCAGGGAAGGAGGCTGGACGCGGTGCCTGCAAGAGGTGGTGTGGGGTCCCTGGGGGTCTCGGGGCGGGAGGGCTCAGGTCCTCTGCTATCCCCTTGGGGCGGGTGGCATTGGGGGTGGCGCTGTGGTAGCCAAGGGAATAGGCCAAGCAATGAGACTTCAACAGTGCAGCTGAGGGGAGGGGAGGAAGAGGTGCGGAATCTGGGATTTGTGTGTCCTATGCTCTCAGTCGCTCTACAAGGACCACCAGGTACCCACTGAGTGCCACCCGGGCAGACGCCTCGGAGAGGCCATGAGGTATGAGACAGCTTTTGCGGCAGCCTCAGTGGTGTCCTCAGTGGAGGCGAGGAGGGTGGGAACCGTTCTATTGAACCTTTGCTGCTGCCCTAGACCTGCATAACCGACTCTCCTCCTGGCTCCACGGGTCCCAGCCCTGGTCACGGAGGCCTTTTCGGGGTGTAGTTACATGAATGTGACCCGCCTCTGCAGTAATGTTTGCTCGTATGCATGTGCCCGTGGACACACCCACCCTCCCACCCCCCAAGAAAAGCTCACAGGCCTGGTGCTGAGGGTTTATTGCCTGCTCTTGGGGGCTCACGAGTGTCAGGCAAGAGGGGCCCGGGCTCCTCACACGGGCCCGTAGGTACCCTTATAGCTGAAAGGTGGAGGCCTCAAGCAGTCTGTGTCCTCAGGGACCCAGTGCTGGATGTAGTTGGGACCCTGGTCCCGGGGCCACACGATCACGGTGTCCCTGGATGCCAGGGATGGGTCCTCGGGGAAGAAGTTGAAGGGCCGGAGCAGGAAGCCCACAGAGTTCCCAGGTGTGGCTGTGTTGGGGACGTCCTCCGAGTGGGGGATGTGCAAGAAGCCCACTGTCACCCAGGCCACCAGGTCCTGCAGGAGAGAGGGCGGGCTGAGGGCTGACCACGCGAGGTCATGGCAGCTTCTAGAAGCTTCTAGAGAGCCTCCCAATCCTGTTTGGATCTGTTGTGACCTCCACCCAGTGAGCCCTGGGAAGGGGACAGGTGCAGGCCGAGGCTGCTCAGGACCCTGCCGGTGAGTGGGCCCGAGGAGGGCAGGGTTCGGACTGGGCTGCTACCTCATTCTCAATGCTCTCGTTGTTGTGAAGAAATTCCTGGAAGACCACCGGGGGGTCCCAGGGGTCATTCTGGTTGTAGATGCTGCTGCTGTATAGCTCCGACTCTCGGTACTTGGTTACTGCCAAGGGGTACCTGCAGGCGAGGGGAAGCCAGGTAGCCTCAGGTGCGGCTGTGGCCAGCCAGTCCCTCCCTGGCAGCATTCGCACACAGGAGATTGCAGACGTTCCTGCTTTCCCAGGATGGAGGCAAGACCTCCCGCTGCCCGTGGAAGTCTGGTAGATGCCTCCCAGACTCATGCAGACACAGAGCCTCATCACAGAAGCACAGACAGACACAGACAGACACATGGGACATGAAAGAGGCCGCTGGAGCTCACCAGCCCCCGGAGTCCCCTCACCTGGCCCAGGTGACGGCCCGCTCCTCGGGCAAGCCCACAGGCAGCACCTGCTCAGCCATGGAGTGGATCTGCAGGAGGTAGCTGCGCTCATGGCCCCAGCGGTTCTTCATACGGTTGCTGAAGAGCAAGTACTTGGGCAGCGGCTGCCTGAAGCGGAAGGCTGCCTGGCGCTCGTGGGAGTACCACGTCTGCTTGAGGGTTGGCTGGACTATGTGATGTGCTGGGCTCCAGGGGTTGGTGATGTTTTCTAGCTTCATCTGAAGCGTCTGGAAGCTATTCTTGGTGCCTGTAGGTACATGTGGTGTGACCCAAATATTTAGGGAAGGTTTAAATGAAAAGCTGTGGACAATAAAAGGCACAAGGCCACAAATGCCCCTCAAAACCCTTGACCTCTCTCTGAACACACTTATGCTGTCATGCTTGCTACCTAGTGGGGCAGTTCTAGAAGCCTCTATCCTGAGTGTCTGTACGAAGTGTGACAAAAAAGTAAGGTGACCACTGCTGCCCAGTGTCATCCTATGGAAAGACAGGCTCGTAAGAACGTAGCACCGTGTCCTTGTCCACCTGATTCACCAGACCTGGCACCGTGTGACCGCCGGCTCTTCCCCAAAGTCCAAATGACATGGAAGAGAAATGGTTTGAACTGATTCAGGTCACCAAGGCATCCAGGGCAGCATGACTAAAGACACTCACGGAGGAGGACTTCAGAGCTGCAGCAGAAAGTGGTAAGAATGGCGGGGTGGGCATATATAAAGCGAGGGGGATTCATGGCAGTGTTTTTCTCTGTAAAATTTTTAAAAAAAGTTTAACATTGGCCCTACATTTCTTTCTTCTCCTTCCTTTTCTTTTTGGCCATATATTTTAACCACACCTCATACAGAGGGAAGAAGGAGAGGCAAGCACTTGGAACTGAAACCCCCTCCCCTGAACTGGGACCTCTGTCCCCCAGCCCAAGCCACCAGGATAAAGAGGGTGCTGGGCACATGTCCTGGGCTAGCTTTGGGGGTGGAGAAAGGGGATTATAAAAACCAGAGGAGCTGGAAGAAAGCTCAGGCTCAGTCATGGCAAAGGCAGTGACCCCAGCACGACCCTGGCCCATGTCCAAGAGCTGTGCTAAATCCATCGCTGTGACGGCTGCAGCCCCACAGGGGGAAGCCCAGGGCAGGAGAGTCGATGGCTGGTTCACTGAGCCTGCAAGTGGAAGCTGCCTATCTGCTCACAGTGGCCTTGTTTTGTTACGGGATGTGATGTCAGGCATGACACCCAGACCCTCTTCTATAATGATGTTCATCAAGAGAAACTCCAAGTGTCCCCAGGCGCCACCTTGCTCCAGCTCAAAGTGCTAGGCAGTGACTTCTCCCCTGGCTTGGGTTCACCTTTGTACTCAGCTCAGCTGCAGGTCAAGGACTGGTACACACTGTGGCATCAGGGTACAGCCTGGGGGCTCTTCCGGGGGACCCAGATCTCTAGTTTTATATGAAACAGGAGCAGGCTGGGCAATCACTCCTTATTTTATGTCAGGGATTTCAGCACCTTATGATTTTCCTATGGACTGAGCTTCCTACCTTGCCCCATATCAGGTGAGAAGTAGCTGGGGTCGCTGAAGTGATCCAGAGGCCCTATTCTGAGTCCTACCTGCCACATCCATGTCGACGCGGTAATGCACCAGGTGGGTGTGCATGTTCCCGAGCAGGTGGGTATGCAGGCGAGTGCCGTAGCGCTGCCCCTCAGGGGTATAGAAAGTGGCGTGGACGTAGCCTGTGGCGTGCATCTTGGTTTCCATCACCCCATTTGGATGGAAGATGAAGTCCCAAATGTAATCGTAATTGTAGACCGTCGAGGTTGTCCGTAGCACCAGCACATGACCCTTCAGCCCTGCGTAGAAGTTGAAGCCACCGCTGAAGTTGGAGTTAAAGTGTCGCCGAAGTGGCACGCCAGTGGGCATCTCAAAGAGACAGAGGGCTCGGGGATAGAGGACAGGGTCATCAGCGTCATAGTAGTGGAAGGTGTCCAGGAAGGTGGCTGTCTCTGGGCAGTCGATGCCAGGGGCTAGCTCGTGGGAGACACTGCCCAGGCCCCAGCCCAAGTCGATGTACTTGGTCTGCATGCCTGCGGGTGTGTGTCCTCCGTACAGTGCCACAGCCTCTTGAATGCTGACCTCATACGCGATACGCTCACCCCCAAAGTGCACGTTCAGGACCTGCAGTCCGGAGGAGGAGCGCATACGGAAGGCAAAGCTCCAGCCCCCATAGAGCACGGTGTTTCCCTCCAGCCTGTAGCGAGGGCCATGGGGCTGGACCACGCGGGGGCCGGGTTTGTGGCTGGGGGTGGGGAAGTCCCCTCGGTGCTTGTAGGAGGAAAACAAGGGTGGATCCTCTGGGCTCGCAGCGCCCTGGCCCTTGGGCAGGGGTCCCTCAAGGATCACAGCGTCCACCTCCCCGTTTGCATACTTCTGTGCCAGCTCTCCTGGGCTCTTGTAGAACTTCCCGTTGTACCAGACCTGCTCCACTGTCCAGCGCTGGACATCCAAGCTCCCATGGTCCACCAGGAGCTCCAGCCCGGTGGGGTGCAAGAAATAGCCTTCTACGTGGCGCTGTAAAATAACCCAGCTGCGGCGCTGGCCAGAGGCCAGCCCCCGGGGGCTCACGTCGGTGAAGGTCAGGCACCGGGTGCCACAGTCTTGGAATGAGAAGCCCGTGGCATCCAGGAAGAACTGATGCAGGGGTTTGGTGGCCTCCGCCAGGGTGCGGAAGAGGAAGCTGTACTCTACTGCGGTGATGGGCCTGGAAGCCCAGGAGGGCTGGTGCCTCAGCCTCGGGGACAGTACTCGCATGTAGGAGGGCTGGGGCAGGGGCCCCACAGCAAACTCGGTGATATTGGGGTGCTCCTGGGCCCCAAAGAAGACGATGGCCCGGGCTTCCCGCGCAGGAGGCCTCCTTCCCGTGTCCAGAAATCTCAGCACGTGCTGCTTCTTGGGCAGCAACGACTCAATGAGAAACACGGAGTTCTTGGCCAGGGTCAGGGTCTTCGAGGACTGCAGCCCCAGCTCCTGGTGGGACTGGAGGAAGCTGCGCACCGCCTTCAGCTCCTGGGCGCTGAGGTCTGCGAACAGCTGGGCCTCTCTGGGTAGCGTCTGCGGCGGCCGCTCTGTGGCCGCCATCTGCAGAGCCACGACGGCGGCCAGCGCCCAGCCCAGGGCCCAGCTCTCTCGCCCCATTGCTGTGGAACAGAGCAGAGCAGAGGGCTGAGGTATTTAATGGAGAGAAGTGGGTTTGCTTCAGGCTCGCACCGGGGATCACCAGGCTCCTCAGCCTCCCAAACGGGGGATAGCTGGGGTAACCGGGCGCCCACACATCAGCCCCGGGGCCGCGTGGCCCAACCTGGGTGTCCCCTGATGTTCATTCTGCCCTCCCTCACATCTGCAGTCCTCCAGAGCTTTGTGGACTTTCTCACCTAGATCCGTGTGCTCTTTCCTTAGCCGTTGCGGATGGTATCTTAGCACGGAGCTCGCTTCTCAAACTGGGCTACTGCCAGCCCCGGCAGGCCCTGGGCCCTGCCCTCCCATGGCCACAGAGTATTCAGTGTGTCCTGCAGGTGGACAGATCTGTCCCATGGCAAAACTACCCTTCAGCGTGGCAGAATGCTTTTTTGTGAGCCCGATTTTGAAATTCAGAGTAGAAGTTCAAGGGGTCAGCTCTGGAGACGGGCTGGCTGAGTGAGCCCTGGGACCAGCTGTGCGACCCCGGGTGTGTTGCTGAAAGTCTCTGGATCTTCACTTCTGAACTGTGAAGTGAAAATAGTAAGGGCAGCACCTGTCTCCTGGATCTCTCCTATCTCTGGAGTTGTTGAGAACGGGCAGCTGAAGAGGAAATAGAAAGTATTTGGGTCGTACGGGACACACACATGTATATATACATGATGTGTCAGCTCTGTCTGTCTGTCTGTCTGTCTGTCTGTCTGTCTCTCTCTCTCTCTCTCTCTCTCTCTGTTCCCCCAACATGGATCGAACCTAGAGCCTCTGCTCTATTCCCAGTCATTTCTGAATTTCATATTGTGAGACAGGGCTCTGCTTAGTTACTACATTGTCCAGATTGGGTTCACACTTTACTCTCAGAGTACTCTCTCCCTTCCTCCCTCTGTCTCTGTCTCTCTGTCTCTCTCTGTCTCTCTGTTTCTCTGTCTCTCTGTCTCTCTCTCTCTCTGTTTTTTTTCTCTCTCTCTTCATGTTTTGAGACAGGATGTTGCTATGTAGCTCAAGTTGCTCCTGAACTCACTTTGTAGCCCAGACTGGCCTCTAATTTAGGGTGATCTTCCTGCCTCAGCTTCCCAAGTACTGAGATTATAGGCGTGTGCCACCACGCTTGGCTCTGCCCTTCTCTTTCAGGTGCATCCTGGTTACTGACCAGGTCATCCAGCCTGGTCAATAGTGACTCCACAGGAGCAGGTCCCAGGACTTGCCTGGCTTTCTCTGCCCTCTCCAGTGCATACTTGAGTGATAGCCTTTTGAAAATCCAAGGCCATAATGGCACATCGGGCAGCACCTGGGCTTACCCCAGGTCACGATACAGGCTGATGCTCCTCCCTTTTCCTTTTGGGAGGAGGGCATGGTCAGGCTACCAGTAAGATCTTATGCGGGTATCTGAGGGCAGAGCTGCACGATGCTGGCAGGGCTGGGGACTTCCACTCTGTCCTCCTTGTGCCTGAGGCGGGGCCACTCACCAAAGCCTTCAGTGTCTAGGTCCCTGTCCTTGCACAGGGTGCTGCAGCAGCCTGCCACTGCTAACTTCCAGTCCTGGTTTCTCAGGCCTACAGCTGTCCTCCTCAATGCTTCTGGGGCCCTGCTCCTCACCATGACATTTCTCAATGGAGGAGCTCCCCTCACTGTTGTCACTGACTTCCTAGGGTTCCCTTTGACCTTGAAACCTTGCTCTGGCTCCCTAACTATGCTTCTTACCTCTCACAGGTGAGGCCCATGATCAAGACCTGTTAGAGTTTGTGTCAAGTTGTCCCCCCAAAGCCTCATGCTGTCATGGGGTGGCTTCTGGAGTTCATGATTGATTATGGTGGGTGTGGATGTTGCACCACCTGTGGATGGGGCAGGTAATTTGCATTGCAGTATAAGGAGGGGAGAGAGCCTCACTAGCTGCCTGAGCTGCTGCCACTCCCTTTGCTTTCTTGCTCTTAGCTACCGCCATGAAAGGTTGCTCTCTGCTCTGTGCTGCTCTGCCTTGGAGCCAGCCAAGTATGGACTGAAACCTCCAGCAACTGTGAGCTAAATAAACCTTTCCTTCCTTCATTTAGGGTGCTGGGTATTTGTCCCAGGAACGAGAGAAGAGTAACTGAGACAGGACCATATTTGAGCTGGATCTATAGATAGGTAGGAGGACTCATAAAGGACCTTGTTTTCATAGGTAATTGTCTTCGTTCCCCAAATCAGTACCTATGGGGAAAATCCTGGAGAAGACAGAGGCACAGAGTGGGTCTCAGAGGTCTGTCTTGTCCAGCTTTCTGCAGGTGCCCAAGGCCTGGGTGGGAGGCAGCTTTAGACTCTGGGACTTGAGGTGCACTGCCCCTAAGAACTCAGTTCTGACTGCACAGTTGAAATCAGGGGTAAGCAAATGTAGTGCTGGATGAAACAGTACTACAAAGGCTCTGGGCAGAGAAGAGCCTGAGCTTTGTGGATGCCTTTGTGGATTACTTTTTGGGAGATGTGTTTTGTGTGTCCCAGACTGAGTCAAAATGTTGGAAACACATCTCTTCTCTTCGAGGCCTGATTATTCCCTCCAGAGCAGCTACACTTTCATGGTATCTCTTCTATGCCAAGTTCATATATTGTGCTTCCTTTCAAAGTTGGTTGAAACTCTACCCCACTGTTAATATTTGTACCTAGTTGTGTCTGCACCCCCCCAAAGCTTCCTGTAGTCATGGGGCAGCTTCTGGAGTTTGTGACTGACTCTTGGTCCAAAGCTGGGATTGCAGGTGTGCGTGCTACACCTTGGCCCTGGTGCAGGAAACCTGCATTACAGTGTAAGGAGGGGAGAGAGGCTGGCTAAGAAGCCACAGCTGCTGCCCCTCCCTTTGCTCTTTGCTGCCGCCATGAACAGTTGCTCTGTGCCATGTGCCACTCTGCCTTGAATCCAGCTGAGTATGGACTGAAACCTCCACTAACTGAGCTAAATAAACCTCTCCTTCCTTCATTTTGGGTGTCAGGTATTTTGTTCCAGCGATTACAGAAGAGTAACTGAGACACCTTCCAAGGCCCTTTCTGGCTTGGGTCTGAGCTAACATAGCTCACTTCCTTGCTCAGTGTCCCCTTAGCATGTTGGCATTTAACCTGTCCCTTAGTGAGCATTTCTTGAGCTGAAGATTAGTGGAAGGTGTTTTCTGGGCCTGCTGAGCTGGTGGACTCCTGGGAGCCACAGCTCTCCTCTTTTGGGGCCTCTTGACCTTGGTGATGAGGGTCAAAGTCTCTTTCTCTGGCTTCCCAGTCTGCACACCTCGACTCTTACATGGTTTTAGTTTTGATCTAGGAATATGGCCCACCCTGAGAACTTTCTTCTGGTGACCTCTCTTGTCTCTCTGGAACTGGTAGGCAGGGCCAGGGCACACGTGTTGTTGTGCTTTCTGGGCCCAGCCTCAGCAGGAGAAGCAGGGACTGCTGATGAACTGGAGCCAGCAAGGGGGTCTGAGCTGAGCTCTGGATCTACTATCCAGATCTCTGTTAGTTACCTTCCTGCTCCTGTGACAAACTGCCTGCTACCAACTTGAAGGAGGAGAGGTTGGTTTTGGCTTACGGCTTCAAAGGGTTCAGTCCATGGTTGACTCAGTCCAAGGCAGAAACATCATGCCGGGAAGGTGTGGTAGAGGATAGCTGTTCAACTCATGACCTCTGAGAGTCAAGGGAACACTGGGAGCGGAGGGTGAGTGGGACCAGATGTAGGCTCCAGGGTTATGCCTTCATGATCCACCCAGACACACCCCTGAGTGTGCTTCACTAATCTGATACACATGCCTCACTCCAGCCAAGTCTTAACATTTCCAACATTCTTCAAAAGTACAAGTCTAAAGTCTTCTCTGAGACTCAAGGCAAACTCTTTTGTCTATGAACTCCTCTAAAATGCAAACATCAAGTTACATCTTCCGAAGATACAATAGCACAGGGTAAACATTCCCATTTCAGAAGGGATGAATAGGGAAAATAAAATAGTATAAGACCGAATCAAGAACGAAACCCAGCAGGGAATACATTAAGTCCTGTAGCTTCATGTCTGCGTCAGGACGTAAGGTGGTGAGATGTGAGGTTCACCAGGCCTGGGCGGCCTCACTCTTAGCGCCTTACCAGATGCAGCCAGCCCACAAAGCTTCTCTCCTGGGCTGGCTGCGCTCACTACCTGCAGCTTTCCTCAGTAAACATTCCACATTCCTGGTGTCTCTAACATTCTGAGGTCTTCAGCTTTGCTTCCACAGTTCACGCAATCACCCTTTGAGGGGCACTCTGCAGGGACTCTGACCCTGTCTCAGGACTTCCTCTGAAATCTGAGTGGAGGCCCCCACGACCTCACAACTTGTGCATGCTTCAGGCTTGCAAACCCAGCTTCACACTCACGCACGCTGCTAAGGCTATGCATTGGCGGCCCAAGAAGGAGCCAGGCCCCCTTGGCCCCCAGCCGCAGTGGCCTCTGGGCAGTGGCCGGCTGAATTTGGAGCAAAGCTTCCCTAGGCAGCCCTGAGTGTGTGTGTGTGTGTGTGTGTGTGTGTGTGTGTGGGTGGGTGCCCTGAGGCTCTCTTCTCAAAGCAGAGCTTTTTAAACAACTTTACACTTTCATACTCTTGCTTAGATGAATGAAGTCTAACCAATTACTGAAACGCCCTCCAGGTATCTTTCCTACAGTCCTGTTGCAATGTGCTTGGTTTCTTTTTAATGGCATCAGACTCTTCTGAAATTGCAGTCTCCCCACTTCCAAATTTATATCTGTTTCTTTCCTGGCCAGACTGCAAATTTTCCAAATTTTTAAGCTCAGCTTTTTTCTTTCTTCTTACCAATTCTCACTGTAAATTAGACTAAAAGTAGTCAGCAGGGCCTGTGCCGCGGCCTGAATATTGTGCCACGGATTTATAGTATCCTCTGCCGGATTAGTCTGGTATCCTTTAACTCAGGCTTGCACAAAGTTTTATGACACAGAAAAAAAATGTAGAAAACTCTTTGCCCGAATATAACC